AGTATTTGTACAATTGATGGGCATACATGAGTCATTTCCATAAATACACATGAAGTCTAAGGCTTTTTAAACGAAGGTTATCACGAGGTGTTATTTAGAGCAAATATGCATTATACATTGTTTTTGGATGTATTACTTCTATGTGACAATAGAGGAATATGAGATTGGTTATGTCTAATCTACCTTTGGATTCTTCGTAAGTGCCTTGTTTAGTGTTCTACATTTTCAAACATTGAAAAACTCGAGGGTCGTTTTATTTTCTCTTATGTTTTTTTTATTTTTATAGCTCTGAACTTGATTCTTATGAACTAGGTGTCATATTTCATATTTTATTTTTATTTTAATCTAACCTTACTCATCTTCCTCTCAACTTTGAGGGGGAAATACTTGCCGCGTCAGGGTCAGACGAGCCCTTATCCAAATAAATTTTTGTGCCTCCGATATATACAGCTCACATTAGTAGTCTTTGTCATATCGCGATATATTGAGTATATAGTTCGCGAATTATTAGCCGTCAGATTAAAAATATAAGGATTTAGATTTCACTTAATGATAATAAAGCGACACGTCGGAGTTCCGTTGGCGTATCTGGTTGGCTTTTATTTATGATGATATTTCAGAGCTACGAGAAATTGGCTATTCAAATTTTATGCATTACCTAGAATACCCTGACTGTTTGTTGTATTGCTTATTGCTTATTACTTAATTTACTATTATTATGGATTGATTGCAGTGGCGGATCTACAACATTTTTGGTGGTGGTTCAAAATATACACTAAATTTTTTTCTCAAATAATAGCAGGTGGGAAAAAAATGAAGGAAGGGTTATTAAAGAGAAAAACAATCATTTTTAAACAATGATTTGACTTATATATATAAGAAACAAAAATATTTATAGAAGGCCTTAAAGAGGTAGACAGAACAAAGGGATAAAATGAAAGGAAAAGAAGAAGAAGAAGAAGAATAGAGGGGAGGTAAAAGGAAAGAAGCCTAAAAGAGAAATTTTCGAAGGCTGGATGGTTTGAACTCCAGACCTCTTACAAAATGTTACCAACTACAATACCACTAGGCTATAGAGAACTTTTCTATGAGGTGGTTCAAGTGAACCACTTTGAACAAGGGTGGGTCCGCCACTGATTGATTGACAATATTTCTTAAAAGAAAATTCCTAGTTAGACGTTGAAAAAGCACTATAATTCCTTTCTTCTAGTTTTTTTTATTGATAATAGAAATGTTTTGTTGATTTTCTAAATTGTATGCTTATGTTTTCATCAAAAAGTTTTAATAGGTTCTAAAATCACACCAAGTCTTTGATTTTGTTAGTATAGAAGAAATAATATTTCAACTAGAGAACACTTGACATCCATTAAGCTTGATATTGCTTTTATATATTCATTTTCTAAATTAGGGGGGGAAGGGATGTACACCAACCACCCAACTATAAGCCATAAGGCTATTACTGTAATTTTACTGGAGAACGTTTGAGTCTTTGACGGCCATAAACATTTCGAAATTATAAAAACCGTAAAAATTGCGCGGCATTTCTCCGTCGCCTCCTCTTTCCGCGTGCTTTAAATCCAAACTCAACCTCCCTTCTTCCATTTTCAACCGTTTTTTCTTTCTCCACCCCCTCATCCAGTCAGACATTTTCTCCTAACCCCTCTTCCCCCATCGTTTCTTTGAAATCACCCCCAAATCCTGAGCTTTTATTACAAACACCCCCCTTAAAAATTTTCATATGAATGCCACCCCTCCAATGGCCCTCCCCGCTACCGTGAAGCCCTGCTGCCGCCTCCTCTCCCTCGTCCCTAAATGCCCCT